ACAGCCATGGCCAAAATGCTGCCGCTCCTGGCGCCGCAGAGTCTACATCAATTTGGCAGCCACGAGAAGCCGAGCGGTGGAGGATTCCAAGAGGAGCTGAGGAGCTGAGGAGCCGAGGAGCCAAACGGACAATACGGACAGCCCACGGACAAGCAACGGACATGACGCGCTTTTATGTGGCTGCTGGGAATTGAAGAGCCAGAACAAAGGGGAATCGCTGTACGTGCGGGCTGAGCGTTTGTAATATGCTTGTAAAATGCAATAAATTTTGTTAGCTCTCGACCAAAGTCAGGACACAGCAGCACTAGCAGCAGCGGCAGCGACAGCGGCAGCATTGACGATGGCAAGCCATAAAACGCGTTTTTGATTTGCCCCAAAATTTATGTGAGCACATTAAATGCGAGACGGTCGAAAGCAGCAGCAGCGGCAGGCAGCAGCAACATCAGTCGAGCAACAGATTGTTGAGCGCCATTATTTCCGTCTGTTATCAGGCCAAACAACACCAAAAACACCAGCAACATCAGCCAGCAGCGACAGGTGTTGTCGTTATGTGCCATAATCTTTTTGACAACCCGCTGCATATTAAAGCAACGCCCCCGATGACAGAGTTGATTGCCTGATGGCTGATGTTGCTGCTGTTGCTCGTGATTTGATGTTGTTGCTGATTTGATGTTGCTGCTACCACTGGGCTGCTGTTGCTGTTGTCCTCAACAATTGCTGGCTGTTGATTTCAGGCTGCTGTTAGTTCTTCTTGAGTTAAAGTTTTTTGAGAGTTGATAGTAGTAGTCGATTAAGATTCTAGATTTTGCTTGATTTTAAGTTGAAGCTTGCTATTGGTAATCAAATATGCTGTCACATTTATGCTAATTTTTAACGGTTCCATGGAAATTGCAGATAAATGCTGGTGGTATGTTGATTCTAGATAATAATTGATCCTCCCAAATTAAGTTTTTTGTTGACTTTGGGATGGTGTCGCTAGTACGCGACTTTATACACATTAAAATGCAATTGTCAAACTGCTGCCCACAGTAAAACTTTATTGATTTTGAAGCCAATTTCGCTATTGTCCATTGATTTTGTCTACTTATTTGCAATTCCGCCGCGATCTCTGTTTACAATTCGGTTAGATTCTCTTTCAAATCTCTCTCTGCATTGCTGGTTGCGAAATCTTTGTTTGTTTATGGCAAGTTTTATGTATTGGCCGCTTTGCGAAACGGCAAACATGTGGGTCTATCTCTACTAACATACATATGTATGGTATGTGCCGGCCGCTAAAAACGGAACATCTGCTTATGTTGACGTAATGCGAATGGAAATAGCCGCCGATTATTCGGACTAAACATTTCAAACTCTTTGTTTATGGGCCCGGCATCATCTTTGGCTTGGCTAATGCTCATTTTCGGTTTGGGATTTAGGGAATTTCGATGCCAATTGCGATGCCGTCTGGCTGGCGAGGTCGTAAACTTGACAAAAGCCGGAGTTGTGTCCGGACTAGTAATGGATTCCTTATTCCCCACCCAGGACCTCTTGCCAAACTCCCCAACCTCTGATGTCAATTAAGGATTTTTGGGCTACAAACTGCAATCAAAGTGTCCCGACACAAATTGCACTCCAATGACTAGCAAATATATAGTGGTGCACTACGAAAACTATTGCCCCGGATCGGAATGGAATTGGATATTTATGCAACTCGAATCCCGAACTTGAACCAAAAATCATGCAAATTGTTATATGTATATTTCAATATTTTATTAGCCCAGGGAAACGAAATCCAAATGCGAATCGGATTTCGATGCCGATGCCGATGCCGGTGTCGATTCCTTGCCATTGCCATAAATTGCAGCAGTTGTTGCCAGAAAAAGAACGAGAGGGACGAAGGACTTGCTGGCCATAAATATCGCAGCCATTACACAAAACACAACTGCAGAGAAAGCACAAACACACACAAAGATATAGAGAAACATGAATGGCACAATAAATAAATCGGGTAAGCGGCGTTTTAAAACAAATAGAAAGAAAAATACACCATCCAAATAAAAACAAAACAATTCCAAATGCACAACTAAAGCCGGGATGCGATAGACGTTGAAAGGGAAAGATGCTGAGCGGAGGGGGGTCGAGGTTGTACGTCGAAATAGCGAAATAAAATTTGCATTTTTTGCGCTTAAAGCTTCGGTATCAGCAAAACTACGAACCGAATATAAAACACAGCAGCACAACAACAAAAATCCAAACGAGATGATGAGATGTGCAAAGTCAAAGTCAGCAAAAGCGAAATGTTATCGGTTATTGAACAAGTATCGTATGGGGGGGGATCTATAGAGGGGATGTCGTCGAAGATGCTTTGTATGTGCATATTCCGCTGCTCACTGTTGTTAGGCCTTATAAATAAACGTGTACGGTTCATCTTTATGTACATATTTCTGTCCGCTGAAGTCGACTGAAGGTGCGGCGTATTTTGATCTCTTTCGCTTTTTTCCCGGGCCTTCGGTTTCTCATTTATTTGGGTCGCTTTGATAGCCCACACTTGGTTTCTAATGTGAGGGATGTTTCTTTTCATTCAGGCGACACCGATCCGAATTTGCAATGTTATCTTATGAGTACCGGAAACTGGCCATCCTCCGCTTAATCTTAAACTGAACATGGTGTGATTTTATACTGCTTCAGACACATCTAATTGTTGCTTTTAGTGGTACTCTATAACTAACGATACTTAATGCTATGATTTAATTAATATTTTTACTTTTTTGATTTTATATTTTTTATCTGCAAAAATAGTGACCCCTAAACTGTTTTAATCCTAAAACCTGGTTAGCATCACATTAAATAATTTTAATTTCAATTTCTTTACTTTCTTTTAATCACAGGAGTTTATCTTTTAATTTAGCTGACCACACTGTGTATGTCCTAGCCCCATTGAATTTTCTTACCACCCTCTTACCACTTTTCTTGTCATTTCTTTTTTGTTCCTCCCCCGGCCAGCGATCAAAAATCATTTGATGTCCTTTGGCCCTTTCATGCGACTCTAAAAACTTTGCCAGAATCGAAACATTTTCAATACATTTGATTAAACCAAGTCCGCTGTCCTGCTGACCCCTCCTTTCCCTCATCATCGTTCCTGATGATGGCCAGGCTATAAAACGTTTATCTCCCACACTTTGCTCTTTCGCTGTCTATCTCTGGATGCCTCTGTGTCTCCTTTATCGCAGTATCAATAAATTAATTTGAAAACTTTGTCGCTTCTATTTGATTCTGGGTGGACCCACCCAACATTTTACCCCGGTTCCCTCTCACTCTATCTCACTCACATTTTATTCTTTTAATTTTTTTTGTGCAAATTTTCGTCTGTTTCAAATTCGTTTCATCGTCGGTATCTTGTATCTATAAGTTAGCATCGCTTTCTGTTCCGTTCAGTCGCTGGCTCCGTGTAATTTGGTCTTTCAGCCCCCTTTCTACCCGCTTTCACCGCCTCCCCCTGCCAGCCCCTTTTCCAGGTCGTCTTTTACTTTTTGGGCAAGTACAACTACAACTAGGACAACTATGAGTTCAGTGCGATGGCAGTTTGCTCGACAGGCAGTTAACATGAAGCACCGCCGCCTCCTTCACCCCGAATTTCCCTTATTTTCCGACCTCGTGTGTGGGTGTGTGTGTGTTAGGATTTTTTGGCTATTGAATTGGTTTCATGCTCATGCATTTTATATGAAATTGTCTGCATGTCTGTCTGACTTTTTGCCCATCGTGTCACGCCCATGCCCACGCCCACTTGTAATCTAAGCTAGCAACCCGGTGGCAGTTGCACCATTTTGGGAGCGCAAAAATTTACATCGCTTAATTCGTTAGCCGAGAAAATGTTTTTCGCCTGCAATTAGTGGACAACATTTGTTAGCCAAACACTTTTGCCAACGGAACGAGAGGCGAGGCGGCCGAAACTGGCAATAGGCAATGCAGGTAGCAAAAGTAGAGCTCTTATCTTTATTACAAAAAACGAAAAAACTGCCAAAAAGAAGGAAAATGTGGGCACAAAAAACAAGAATAAAAAAACACGAACAGAGAAGAATTGGAATAAGAAAGAACGAGGAAAAAACTAAAAAAAATTGTAAAATGGAGATGGGAATTTTTTGTCTACTTGGCTCTCTCGTGTGCTCGACTTTTATTTGAAGTAGAATTTTAATCCATGGTTTTTTAATGCGGGCGATAAACTTTTACGGCAATTGTCGACGGCATTAGCGAGGGTGGACTGAGAAACAGGGAGGAGTTACTGTTCATTTTTCCCTTGTTTTTTGGCCGATCGACCGGGGCTCAAACCTTACTTAACCGTTCAGGTGTGCACACTCCCCACACACGCATACTCCCCGAATAGTAATGCCATACGGTTTCATTATGTGCTCCCCTGTTGACGCTTCTGATGCTTAATGCCTTAATTAAATGTTTCATTAGCACGCTCTGTGGAGTGGGCGTGGCCGACGCCCGCCTACAGTCACAGTTTCAGCCAACTGGCAGAAGAAACATGCAATTGAAAATAGGTGGCTGGCATAATAACTTATGCTTAGATAAGGGAAATTGGTTACCAAGGTTGCGATTCAATCTTCAGATCTTTAATTGAATAAATGAAATGATTTTATTGGATTTAGATATCTTTTGGATACACAAAATGAATTGCAATACTGAACAAAGACTTTTCTATAATAGATATTTAATATTTATGTTGCCAATGAAAGCTTTCGATTAAAGCACGAAATTTTGCTTTATTTCAATAGTACATTATAGAGCAATATTAAATCCAATTAAAACTTATCAAATCATTGGCAGCATAAAATTATAAATTTATAGTTATAAAACAATTTCAAGCTATAAGCACTTAAAGGTCAAATTATTTATGATAATCGCATTATGTGCAAAAACACACAGTTCAAAATTAGATACCATTAGGGCATTATTCAACATTTTTTCGAATTCGGATCCAATTGATTATGTTTATTTATCTATTTGCATTGGCTTACCCGCTTCTTCCTTATCGCCGGTCCTCTTCCCCTCCCTCTCACTCTCGCTCTGTCCCTCTCTCTCTCGCTCTATTGGCCAACTCTCCAACTGGCTCGTTCAATTTTCGAAAATTCAGATGGTGCCCATTCAGAATTTCGTGTTGCGGGCTTGCGGGTTTTCGGGTTGCGGCATTTTTATGCTTTTGATTCAGTTGTTGCTGTTCTGTTTGCTTGTTGTAGCCATAAAAAATTCATTTTAGCCGGGCCAACACGCCAAACCAGTCGGTCAGAGTCGCCGAGTCTAGCGTTTTGTTATAAATTCACGACTTCACGGCAGCCACTCGGCTCTTTCTTGCCCCGTCTCTTTCGGGCAACTTGGATGGCTTTGAACGGAATCTAATGGAATGGGGGGCATCGGGTGGCAGGAGCGACCTTAGCCAAGGCTGAGATTGAAAAAGATGACAAAGATGGCTGCAACATCCGGTTGGCCATGTGTGCAAATGGGCGTGTGTGGCGGTGTGGCGGAGTGGCGGAGTGGAGGTGTATCGGTGTGTGTATTGTGTGTGTTAAATTCCAGACAACAACGCCGGCAGCGGCGTCTCAGTTTCAGCCGCAGTCTGATTTTGAGTCTGTTTCTGTTTCTGAGGTTGGGTTTGGGCTTGAGTTTGAGTTTGACTTTGAGTCGCAGGCTGATAACTGTTCGACGCGCCTCCCACAGCGGTTACAGTCTGCCTTCTGTCTGCCAATCTACACAGCGGGAAAATCCGCCAAAGCTGGTATTACTAGTCTGATTTTGAATAGCCTTGAATGGGCCTAAAGCGTTCAGGCTAAACTCCCTACATGTCTGAGCCGCTTCAGAATCATGCGTAACTGGCTTTATAATCATATCCTGCATAACAAGGTATAAGCATTGAAATATAAGAATTTCAAACAAGCTACTTAGTAAATTAAAGCCTTATTAGAGCATTCTGATTGTTTGCTAGTTCTTAAAGGCATTACAGGGCAGCATGGTGTTTTGCTAATACCTAAAGATTTATGGACCTTTGTCAATACTTAACCAACCAAAGATATGGTTATCGCCCAGTTTTGTATACTTTCACACACAGTAAATTTAACTCTAGAAATTTCCATAATATTATCCTTGCACGACAAGATAGCTAAGATTTCACTGTATTTATTCAGTAAGAACTACAACTGACCAACCATATTATAACTTCACTGGAGAACAGAGCTATTGGCCCATTTCTAAAGGTACTTTTCAGCCAAATGCCAAGTTTAACGTACTTTCTAGTAAGTAATTTAAATTCTAGGAACTTGTTTCGAAGAACCGCACTGCCCTGCGCTTCACTTCCGATCTCTTCAGTAAAATCTCGGTTCTATAATGCCTTTTCTGGGTTTATAGATGTTCGACTGTATGGGTGTATGCGTGTATGTGTGCGATGTCTGGCCTGCCGTTCGCACTTGGTAATTGCAGCTGTGCCAGTGAGTGTGAGTGAGTGTCTGTGGCGATAGCTCTTGTTGCCGGATTGAGCGACTGACTGCGGGAATGACGCATTGGCTGGGCCCCAGACTTCTTTGGCTGATTGTTCACTTTTTGTATATTTTAATCGCTTTGGATTTTGAATATTTTCTCTGATTTTTGCACTTATTTCGCTGGAGCACTGAGTGTGTGTGTGTTACTGCCTTTGTCTTTGCTAAACAATTGTGTGAGTGAGGGGGTGGTGGGCGGCGGGCGGAGAGAGGTGAGGCAGGAGAGAGCCAGGAGGCAACCGGTACAGACGAGACGCGCAGCGCGAATGAATGAAGTTCCGCAGCCAGCGAGCGAGCAAAGCTATGGCCGATTAGTCGGAGAGCCGAAGAGAGCCGACAAAATACGAATACGAAGTTCCCGTTCCCGTTCGCGGCGGAGGCTTTCTCCGCTCTCTTTGCCGCTCTCCCGCGGTACCGCTCTCTTTTAGCGGCCATTGCTCAGGCGTGTAGGTCGTCTAGAGGCCGTTGCCGAACCAACTCTCTTCGTTGGCCCGAAGCGACTCTCTTTGTTGGCCAAAACTGCAAATCAAAGTCGAGGTCGTTGTACGAATGTAAGAATGTCGGCATGTGATTGCTGCCGGCGTCGCAGCCGCCGTCGGCGTAGCAGTCCGCGTAGCAGTAGGCGTCGCAGTCGCTGAATGATGTTTAATGCCTGGCCGATCTGCCACCCAACTCCCACTCCCTCCCCCTCTCTCGCTCTCTTACTCTCTGCTGCATTATGCTGCCATGTATCTGTCTCTTTATTTCCCTGTGTGTGTGTGCATGCCTTAACTTGGCTTTCTTTTGAATAATGTTGCTTCATGCTTTCGCAGTCTTCGTCTTCATCTGTCTGCCGCTCCCTCTCACTCTCTCCCGCTCTCTTTTCCTAGCCAACCTTTAGCGCCGTCTCTGTCTACACTGGGAAAAAAAGGAAAGAGTATTGACCTTTTGAAGAATGTTTGCTATTAAAATTGGTTCATAAATGATTGGTTTGGGAATTTCTGTATGAAAAATAAATGACTTGGACAGAAACATGTAGTCATTTTAGTCTCAAGATTATTCTAGTTATACGAACTTTTTTTAAAGTAGCAAATTGGTTCTTGAAACCACAAATAACTGGTATCTTAAAACATACAACATTTTTAGTTATTTTCCCGAGTGTAGGCAAAAATGCTGTTACTTTTTATGTGCAACCCTTCCGCAGCCCACCCCCTTTCAGGCACCCAGAAGGAATTCAGTTAGCCTCCGCTCGCTTTGCCCATTTTTACTACATTTTTTGCTACTCTTTTTGCTTTTTTTTCCTTTTTCACCTTTTTGTCTTCTTTTTTTTAATACATTTTCGGCTGCCTCGTCGCTTTCGCGCGTTTGTAATAAAAACTCGTTATAAGTAGAAATTCTTTTCTTTTGGGCTAGTTCCACCTGTCCTCCCCGCGTCCACTGGCCTTCTTTAAGCACTCTTTGCGGCCACTTTTCTTTATTATGATTTTTTCGAGCTGTTCCTCTACTTTTGGCCATAACAAATGTGAGAACCGCCCGAGGCTGGAGCGGCTTAAGCCTTTAGAAGTCCGAAGTTAACGCCCCCAATCTCGTGTTATCTGACCAGCCCCTTCGGCCCGCTAAGCTCAATTAGAGCTAATTTGCTTATCGGCAGTCAGCTGATGGGGATCCCCGCCAAATGAAATTGTCATTGTCAAACAACTGATAGCAGCGCTGAACTCCGGCGATAAGATATACCCACTCACGTGTAAAGCTAAATTACTTTTGCGGCATTCGTACAAACTGCAAATTCATTCCGGCCACGGACTATTTAACATCATTTATCGTGAGCCGTAAGCAAGGGTCGGCTGAAAAGCGGCTGAGACGCATGATTAGGCAGAAAGTGATTGGCAGTGTTATTGACCAACGAAACAACCCATTTTGGCGCTGGAATTTGCATGGGAATGGGTGCTCTGGAAAAGCCTGCTAAATGTGCTGATGAATCGGTTCGGTTAGATTGATGACTCGTTTATTGCATTGTGAAAGTACGCTAAGAAATGGATGCCAAAAGGAAGAATTTTAAGGGGGCTGGGCCACGTTGTTTAAGCTCTTTTTTTAGTGTCTTTTGGATTTATTTACCAGAAGGGTTCCTGATCTTTAAGCTGTTGTGTCTTGGTCGTTTCAGGCAGCTTCGGAATGCCGGACATAAGAATTATAACTGGTTTATCAGTATTTTACCTGGTACAGTTTTTGGGTTTTAGGTAGCAGGCGTATACTTGATATTTTGTTCTTTTTTCTGGAATCTATTTTGCTCCTTAATAGAGAGAGTCAATTGATTATATTATATCACTAAAATCTCACTCCTCTTTTAAAAATACTACCTTTAACCACTTGTCACTTGATTATAATTAATGTCCCCTAATGACTGCTCACTCACCTGTAATTTTCCGGCTCACACCGCTTTGGCCATCACCTGTCATAGTTGTTCTCAGGCTTCTCTGTGAGGTTGTTTTTGTTTTTGTTATTGCTTTTTTTTTATTTTTATTATTTTTGTTTTTAGGAGGTGACGCGACGTATTAAATGCAAATGGATTACGGCGAATTGATTATGCCCGCGCCGGAGTTAAGTTACACACGACTGCCATATAAGCGTATCAGAACTTGGCCAGTACGAGAGAGTACAAAACACACAGACACAGCAAGTGTACTTAACGGTTTCAAATTCCGCTGGCTGATCACTGGGTTCTTAACTTAACTTATGGTTTATTGGTGGGAGCACCTGCGACTGACTCGCTGGAGGCTCTCGGCTCGACTGCCGCTGCACTTTTTGGGCCCAAAGGCCGCAACTTCGGAACATGGCTGAGAAAAGGGTTCTTTGGTTTAGTTGTTCCTTCTCCACTCTGTACTTCGTTGGCCGCTCGATCGCCGCCAACTGGAGACGGGCAACCTCGACTGGCAGACGTCGCGTGGCGACTGAATGCCAACTTCGCGGGACTGGCCCAACGAGAACTGCCGTGAGCTCTCTGCAACTCCGCGGCGGCAGTGGTGCGACAGAGAGGACCGCTGCGCAGTCGGCGCGCTGGCTGCGCTGCATTGCTGCAGCAGTAAAAGGGGAGCGGTGGGGGAGCCAGACAACGAGTGCATTGGCATAGTAAACTTTTGCACGAGGCGCCAGCCTCTCTCTCTCTCTTTCTCTGGCGCCCTCCTTCTCTTTCTGTGTCGCGAGCTGCGATGCCGTTAGATGCGCACTTGACGTCTGGCGTCGCAACAAGTCGGCGGCAGCGCAGTCGGCAGAGGCAGCGACTGAGGCAGCGACTGTCTGTCTCGCCTTCGTTTCGCAAAAAAAAGGGATTCCCCGAACCCCAAAACGAACCGAACATAACCGAGTGTCAGCGAGCCGAATAAAAACCGAACTAATCCGAACGACAACGGCGCCAGCGAAGTTTTTATACATTTTTTCGCATTTCAAGGGACTGCTTTTTAAGAAGTCCTAAATAGCCGAGAATCGAAAGGCCAATCTATCAAACATATCTTTGGAAAATAAAAATCTAAAAACAATACCCACAAATGTATTTTTAAGATCTTGTCTAGTCGCACTGTTGTGACTCAAATGGCAAGTGGAAGTGTTGGTAAAAAGGTTAGATTGGTAAACATATTTTTAAAACTACCATTAAAGATCATGATACATTAATGCTTGGTACTTGTATCATTGTAGCTATGGAAATACAAACACTTATCCAATGGAGTTAATTATTGATAGGAGAGAATAGAACGTTTTTACGTTCTCAAACATTATTGAAACCAGTAAAATAAATTATATTTATCAGCATAGTTAAATTTTAAAGTAAACAGAAGTGATAAATATAATATAGTTGGTTGATAGGGACTTAAACGAAGTTGATTAATCTATATAATTCTTATGGGATTATTTAGCTTATGATATGACCCTTGAATAGTAATTGTCATTAGCTATAAGCTTGACTAACTTCCTCGACCTTTTTAGCGACAGATCAGTAACGTAACCGTGGAAGCGTACGGAAAAATGGGACTTACAAGCCAGAATGCAGTAAAAGACAATGCAACCCCCCGAAGTTATGCCAGTTGTAAGCCGCTCGGGTATAGATTACAATACAAAACTTGGCTAAGGAGCAGAAAGGGGCAAGTGGGCCACGGAAGCCTCGAATTTAGCCGGCATTTTGCAGTGCATCCGCTCGGCAATCGACACTGGGCAGAAGGGGTGGATTGAGCAAAAAACGAAGAGAAAGGACCAAAGAGCGCAGGACTTAAGAGCAACCAGGTCGGAATTTTGGGGCAGGTCAAGTTGTCCGTATACGGGGAAGCCAGCTGACGGACACTGGCCGCCGAACGCGGATGCGGCGCCCAGAAGGATACGAAAGGATGCGTCGAGGACGCCGCTCGTTATTAGATTCATCTTGTTTAGCGCTTAAGCAGCTTGGAGCTTGAGCCATGCCTCTGCAGCTGGGAGCCATCCCCAACTGACCGTAAACTCCGCTCGCCTGCTTTACGGCCGTATTCCCAGCTCCTCCGCCCATCTGCCCATCTACCCATCCGCCACTTTTCTCATCATTATGCCAGCTGGATTTTTATACTCGTAGCCGGCATCTGCATCGTTTCATTAAAATGATTATTAGCACATCTTCAGCTTCAGGACGACTGTAAGTGCACTGGGCACTAGTGGCCTTCCCATGGAATTTCCACGGGTATTGTGGCAGGCAAACATCTAATTAGACGGATCCTCAAGCTGACGCCTGATTAGGCCGAGGGTCCTTCGCATTCCAGTTTGCATTATCCAATTGTGCAATCCGATTCCATGCTGCTTTAATTCCGCTCGATTTAATGACATTCGAGTAGCGGCCGCACGCTAGACGACAGCAATTAAATTATCAAACAATTTCCCAACTGCAGAATTATTATTAAATTTTGTGCCCACCCACACACCTCCAAATACTTATTGGCATGAATATATATGTATGTAAATGTCCAGATTTGCATGTGTGGGGATTCCCTTGCCCTCTCCGGACATTCTGCACACATGACGCCTATTAACCGCTTACAATTTTCATATGCAAAATTGGCAAAATTTTCGATACGGCCAAAAATATGCAGTCGAATATCTGATACGGAGGTATGTGGATAAAATGAACAAGAGGAGAGGTGCGAAAAAGCAATCACGTAAAATGTTACTTAATAACTAAGATAAATCTTAAGATTATCAAAATGTTTAAAGCGTTTTCATAATTATTATTAATATTATATATATTTATACAATCGATTAACGACAATCTCATTATAGATATTTAATCACGAAAAATATAATTTGTTAAAACAAGCCAAGGGAGCCCAAAAACATAAGCTTATCGCGATTGTTCTTAATATAT